AGGTGAGCACAGGGGAGCAAGGGTCAGAGTTCACATCTCAGCACAGACCACAGGTGAGCACAGGGGAGTAAGGGTCAGAGTTCACATCCAGCACAGACAGACAGCAGGTGAGCACAGGGAAGAAGGGGTCAGAGTTCACATCCCAGCACAGATAACAGATGATTCCAGGGGAGTAAGGGTCAGAGTTCACATCCCAGCACAGACAAGAGGTGAGCCCAGGGGAACAAGGGTCAGAGTTCACATCCCAGCACAGATAACAGATGAGCCCAGGGGAGTAAGGGTCAGAGTTCACATCCCAGCACAGACAAGAGGTGAGCCCAGGGGAGCAAGGGTCAGAGTTCACATCCAGCACAGACAGACAGAAGGTGAGCACAGGGAAGCAAGGGTTCTCAGCAGGCTGGGGAACAGCCCTCGGGGTAAGAGGATGAGTTGGACAACAAAGGGTGTGAGCAGCCAAAGGAGTGGAGTTCCTGAGGAGGAGGGAGCAATGAGACAGGCCAGGTGGCAGGCTTGGAGGGCAAAGAAGTCCCAGGAAGTGAGCCAGAAGCTACATTTCATCCTGGGCAGCCAGGAGCCATTGAAGGACCTGTGACTGAGGATTACCCAATAGCAGGGCAGCGTGGAGGCTCACAGGCATCCAGAGGAGAGGAGACAGTGTCCTGGACCAGAAGGCTGTGAGAAGGACACACGTAGCTGGAATCTGAAAGCACAAAAGGTGGATTTAGAAGTTACAGCTGTCACATCTACAGTGAGTTTTAGAGGCAGACATGTGGCCATTATTGACTAGTGAGGTGGTGGCAGGAGGCGGCTCTTCTTGGGACTTAGCATCTCCCACAGAACAGGGAGACCATGGCAGGGCCAAGTGACCTGCTTTCCTTCCAAGAAGCATGTAATTGTTGGGAGAAAAGTGTCGTTACAGCAGTTTTTCTGTGGGCCACACAGGGCTGAAGGACATCCTCCTTAGAAAGCACAGAGAAGAGAACAGACCCTGGTCCCCTGTTGGGAATGGGTATAAGTTAGCCAGGCCATTGCTGAAAGCAGTACGGAGCATCCTCAGAAGATGACAGATACAGCTAGCGTTGACCCCTCAGCTGGGTGCACATCTGGGGAATCTGCATGCCTGTGGTTCGTGTTGCTTCTAATAGCCACAACACGGAAGCAGTTTAACTGCCCACTGACAGATGAAGAAACACCTAAAGGCGAAGAAGCTCTTGCCGTCTGCAGCGGCACGCATGTCTCTGGAGGGGGCTGGTTCAGGTGAAATAAGCCAGCCTCACAAAGGCAAACGCTGTGCTCACTGATGTGGGATCTGAGCAGGAACTCACAGATGCAGCACCAGGCCTGAGACTGGACTGCGAGCAAAGGGATAATATGAGCGAGGGCACAACAGGGGGCGAGGGTCAGTCATCTATGGTATGCCCCAAACTCCTAAAACAGGCATCTTAGACTCTTAACGCACACACACACACACACACACACGTGCACACGCACACATATGCACATGTGTGCTGACAGATATGCTAATTGGCCTGCTTAGTCTTCTAGAGAACACATCACACTGTCTGCCATAAACACGTGACTATTTACTTGCTAATCAAACTTTAACAAAATGGAAACATTTTGAAGTAAAAGAAAAGGCAGAAGAAACCAGCGCCTGTTCCTAAAAGCACCGCTGCCGAAGGCATCTATCTGTAGGTAGTCACGGGCTTCCAGCGCTTCATTTCCTTTCCCCCGTAATTCTCTGTGTGTGATTCTCAACCAAGAAAGACATTAGCGAGACTTTAAAGGCAGAGGGGAATCTGGCAGGGTGGGGGTCAAGGGCGGGGTCAAGGGCATGGTGGCTGACCTGCACACATCACTGTTCACCCAGAGAGGCAGCCACCGGGGGCAGCACCCCGCTCCCTTCTCCTGGCTTGTGTGAGTTGCTTCAGAGGACTCTCTCCTGCAGACAGCCAGCCTCTGCTTCTGCTAGTATCTACATCCTGGGTGGGCTGCCATACTGATGCAATCCAGAGTGTGTTACTGGATCCCACAGCCCCAGCCTATCTTCCCGAGCACCCACCTTTCATCCTGGGACCCAGGCCGTCCTCATGGTCCCATCCTATCCTCATAGGTGCCAGAATTTCCTTGCCTCCCTCACCTCTCACTCTCCTGTCTTCCTGATGGTCCCTCTGCTGACTTCAGATCTGGTACCAGATGGAGGACGGGGGTCCCATATCTACTACTGTTGAAGCTGTCCTCAAAATTGAATGGGTCGGGACCTGTGATAAGTCTTCCCGTCTTGATCAGGCCCAGTGCTTCTACTTTGATGAACAAGCTGCTCACACACGCACACCACAGAACTGTGGACTCAGACAGAGGCAGGGCATCAACAAGTCCCTGTCTTCCTGGGACTTTCCCAGCTAGCAACCAAAAGTTATCCCAGAAAACCCTTCCATCCAGATGGTCCTCGTCACTCTAAACAGAGCAGCAAAGCTGGGCAAAGTCCCCTGATGTGTAGCATGAGGTCAGACATGGTCGCGGGGCTGGAAATAATACAGGGCAGTGTGCTCCTGGGATTCGGAAGAGGCTGTCACCCTGGGACACTGGTTCTGCGTATCAGATGTCAAAGTCAGGATGTGTCTTCAGGGATGGAGGCCTCACAGTCACTTTTGGCAAAGACATGACTCCCAAAATGCTCTTGTTTTCCCTTGGAATCTTTTCCCAGGTGTGTCTTCAGAGTCTGGAGCTGATGCCCAAACACATCAGGAATCAGAGCCCTTGCTCGTTGCCACTCAACTTCTGCAGAAAGTTTAAAGGCAGCAAGACACTGAAATGCTAGGTGAGGACAGGGAGTGGGCAGGGCTGGCATTTCCTCCTCTCACCCAAACTTGGTGCCGTGGAAGCTTTGGCAAAAGGGACACCTTAGCATCATCTCCTGTCACCCTAACATTTCTGTAAATCATGGAGGATACCCTTCCATCTTGGCTGTCCTTCATCTGGAAGCCTCCAATCAGCCCAAGAACCACGTGACTCATGCCTCAGTTTCCCCACCTCCAACAATGATGTATCAGTTCAGAGTGATCTTTCCATACATGATCCCATTAGACTCTAACCTTCTATCTATATGCCTGGCACAGGGCTTGGCATGGAGAGGACCCCATATCTACCCGTGCCCATAGGAGGAAAGCAAAGAGGGAACGCCAGAATGGAGGCTTTTTGGCCTTTGAGAGATCAATAACCCAAAGGGCTCAAAATCAAAAGACAGGTAAAGCCTACCAATTCCTCCCACACGTGCTTCCCAGGACAACACGGAGTCCCCATGGAGCAGGTCGTATGCAGGCAATGATGGAAATACCTTCATGGAGTCAACTTCTCTAACCCCATGTACGTGCCACAGCTGATGGCTTAAACTCTTGGGTTATTTTTGAGTATCGAAACAGGGCAGTTCCGTGGGACAGTGCTGGTATTTGGAGAAACTAAATGTCAGGCTCTGGTTCCCACCACTAGGAACGATGGAGGTTCCAGTCTTCCGAGCTCAGAGTCTGGGATGACCGCCCCCACTTAGAACACACACTCTACTCCCTATCCTGTGAGGACAGCTTAACTGTCTCCTTCAAGAAGCCTATTACAATGCCCTAGATGGAAGTGGACTTGATCTTCTCAGGACTCTGGCCCTGGGAGAAGCGGAAGACAGCCGTGTTTAGCAGTAGAATGTGGAGCTCGTCTATATGAATTCAAACTCCATTTCCAAACCACTGTATGCACTGTATGCAAATTACCTACCCTCACTCCCCCAGCTTCAAAGTGTGGATAGTGCTGGGGTCTGAATGTGTCCTTCAAGTCCATAAGTCAGAAATTTAATCCCTGGTGTAATATTGGAGAAGGTGGGGCCCTTTGGGAACTGTTTAGGTCTCGAGGACCCCACTTTGAGAGTGGGCTCAGGTTGCCTCGACTGTGTGTATGTGGTCCTTCCCTACCTCTTCCATCCCTCCACTGTCGAGGGTACAGTAACATCAACAAGACACCCTCCCGGAAGGGGAGACTCAGCCCAGAGGCAGGCTGCTTGCTCACACTCAGAATCTGGCCGCCTCCTAGCCTCTAGAACAGCGAGGGATAAAGCCCCATTCTCCACAGATGACCCAGCCTGGGGTAGCTTGTCACGGCAACACAGCTGTCCTAAGCAGAAGGTGACTGAGAAATGAGTTAATGCAAGCAAAAGGCCAGCAAGGGAGCCGAATGTGAGGGACGCACCGTGCCAGCATTTTACAGTCATCGTCGTATTAGTCATGACTCTGTTGAGAGATTATATCCTGCCTTGTGGGAAAGCTTTCTAGCTGTAGGCTTCTCAAGAGAAGGAACCACTGGACCGAATCTCCATCTTGCTCTCAGCACTGTGGCTCACACGGAGCAAATGAAAACCAATACCCGTGCCCCAATCATCAGGTGCATTGTTAAGAGGCCATTCCCCATTCCATTGCCCACATAAAAAAAAACAGTCTTGGGTCTGGAGAGATGGCTCAGTGGTTAAGAGCACTTGCTGCTTTTGCAGAGGACCCAAGTTCAGTTCCCAGCACTGACACTAGGAGGCTTAAAACCACCTGTAGCTCCAACTCCAGGGCGTCCGACACCCGTGCCTCCTCCAGCACTCACAGAAACACACGCGCGCGCGCGCGCACACACACACACACACACACACACACACATAGCTTCTTTCAATCTTCTAACTTAATAAGATTAAGTATAATCTTGAGCCTGGTAGATATTTAAAACCCCTTTGTCCCCGTGGAATTTAGACTGCCCACGCTCCTTTTCTCGTCTCCCACACTCGTTGTTTCCTGAGACAGCTGTGTCTGCCGTCCTCTTCTTCCACACGCATGTTGAGTGTGTGGAGTCGTTCGGGAGGGCCACCTTCCCTAAGGGTGTGAGACTGGATCCAGGCAATTCGAAGGACGAATTCTACGACTGTCCGTCGCTGTGATCCCACCTTTATGTTGCGATTGGAGTCGGACCCAGAAGTTCGGACCCTTCTCTACACCTGTTCACGGTGGCAGCTGCTAGAGAAGAAAAGACAAAGCGCCTTAGCCCAGGCTGGGACAGAGGCCAGCGGGAAGCCACTATCGCTGAGGGCAATATGGCCACCTCTCCTGAAGATCTACCAGAGGCTATGACAACCACACCTCCAGTGTTGCCAATCAAGTGGCCACTTCTTGGGGTCACTCCTGTCACCACCACCAGGGACTTTTTTAAAATTTATCTATTTATTAAAAATTTCCACCTCCTCCCCGCCTCCCTTTTCCCTCCCCCTCCCCACCTCCCCCTTCTTCTCTAGTCCTAAGAGCAGTCAGGGTTCCCTGCACCGTGGGAAGTCCAAGGTCCTCCCCCCTCCATCCAGGTCTATAAGGTAGCAGAAGGAGGGCCGACAGAGAGAAAGAGGACCAGAAACCAGGGAGACAAGCTGGAGAAGGGCAAGGGTCTCTAAGAGTTTCAGTAATCCAGAAGTAGAAAGAGTGTGTGTGCGCACGTGGGGGGGGGGGCAAGGTGGTGGAAGAGAGGGCTCCAGAGACAATGTGTATGTGTGTATGTGTGAATGAATGGATGAGTGTATGTGTGTGTGAGAGAGAGAGTGTGTGAGGAGAGTGGATCACAAACTGTATGTGTGTGTGAATGAAGTGATGTAAGTTAGGGCTCTAGGGATAGGTGTGTGTGAGGGGGGGAGGAGAGAGAGAGAGAGAGAGAGAGAGAGAGAGAGAGAGAGAGAGAGAGAAACTGTGTGCTCAAGACTGCCAAGGGAGCGATGGAAGAGAGGACTCCAGGAACAAGGTCCCTACAAGAAGTCAAGCAGGTAAGCGCAGTAGAGAGAGTGCTCAGAGGCTTGGGATGGGTTCTGCTGGCGAGGACACTGATGCTTGCTGGGGATGATGGGAAGCGAGCTGGTGCGTGAGAGAGAGAGGTCACGGTCCACCTGCAAATAGGAGCAACTGCCCTGCCAGGAAAGAAAAGGAAGGAACATGAAACAATGACAGTCACTGGAGACACTCAAGGCTGATTCCCGGCCTGGGCTTCCCAGGAGTCTGAGCTGGAAAAGGAAAGGGACTCAGATGGTCACACACAGGAGTTGCTCCGTGAATCTGGGGGTTACTCCTGATGAACCTTGAGTTCAAAAGGTGCTCTGACATTGTTCAGCAGAAAGCTCAGTAGACCAGGAACTGGGGTCTGCTTCAGCTTCACGCCACTGAATGTCCTCAGTAGAGATGGATCGTGCAGGATGCTACTTTGATCAAAGTTTGGATCAGATGTGCTGCAATGCAGATGTCAGTGCCAGGCACAAAAAGTTGGATGTTACATGGTTTCATCTATATGGGGTCCCTAGAATACCAGAAAATTCATAGAGACAAAAAATAATATAGTAGTTATGACGCAGGGACAAGAAGAAGAGGGAAGGGGAGCTCCTGCTGGGTAAAGAGCTCCTGTTGGGTATGTAATGGCTTACAGTGTGATGTAAAGGTTTAGGGCATAGATGGTGACAATGGCTATACAACACTGATTGTTTGAGATGTCACTGAACTGTGTGTCTACAAATGACTAAAATGATCAATATGAGATTTGTATATAGTTTGTTATTTCAGAAAGAGCACTTTGTGTGTGTATGTTATACCTCAGCTTAAGAAATGGAGGGATTACACTCAATCTTACTGCCATTCTAAAATTTTGGAAACCCTGTCCCAGATGAGAGGTATTTGCCCATTCAGGTTTCTTTGCTAGGCTGGGCAGAAAACCCTGGGTGCACATGGCTCTGTAAATCCCAGGACAGGAATAGATCCCCTATAAAGCAATGCACTCTGTTAAGCCCAAAGGTCCAGTGTTGCTAAAGAACACAGTCCCACCTGCCTCACAGGGATGTGGCTCCAGACCCCTTTGTGTCAGGTCAGTTCAGCTACTTCAACAACATCCTAGCAACCAGGACACTGATGGTTCACTTAACCCTTCCTGTTCTTGAGCAGAATAAACACAGACACCTGTAATGCCAGCTTTCCACCCTCTGTGCATACAGCCTGGTCCTGACCACCAGGAAGGCGAGAACATGATGAGATCCTAAGTTACAAGAGGGGGTGACCTGGGAAAACTTGTAGGGATGCAGAAGTCAGAGCACCCTTTGAGAGGCTCCTGTCAAATCGTTCCATTTTCCCAGAAGCAAAAAGACAGGGTTGGGAGGTTGGGTTTGAACTTTGGGATTGCCCAGGGAATATACTTTGCTCATCTGACCACTAAGCTCAGAGCTGGTGGGATGAAGACTAGGGGGTGCACATTATGGAAGGGACACCCCCGCCATGGTAGTCAGTGTCCATCACTCTCATCTACAGCACCATTGTCATCGGTGTCCAATGAAGCTTAGGTACCACTGTGGCTGGGCCAGAGCAGAGTCTCCCACACTGGTGGCTTTTTCCATGCTACCCTGCCCACAAATTTACAGCACATCATGAAAAGTATTTTAGATCCTATAGCTTTCCCACAGTTCCATATTAGAAGCCCAGCTTGATAGCCAAGAGTCTTGAGCACATAAGCAAATTCCAGGTGAAGATGAAAGCTAGAAGACATAAGCCTCTTTGCTCTGTCCTTGCACTGATGGACCTAGGAGTCTCAGGAACCACGGTGGAGGAGGACTGCAGCAAGTCCAGACTCAGTCAGGGGGGACACAGCAAAACCACGGAGTTCCATTCAGAAAGTAGATGGCTGGAAGGAGTTCTCGGGTTAAACGTGAGAACAGATCATTGCCATCGTGTTTACTATGACACACCTCATATGTGAGACTCTATTGAAATGCTTGCATCTCTTAGCGCCTGGGTAAACCTCTGTCCCTCTGAAACAAGCGACATGACTCCCAGAGCACAGACTATTAGGAAAAGGAGTCTCATTGCATAGTCTCATTGCTAAGGTCGAGCCAGCTGAGACACCCAGTTCATCACCTGAGCCCCTGAGCAGCAGGATCTTTGCATCTGAAATGCCTTTGCCTCCATCTCTGATTGGTAGAGTGCCCTTCATCCTTTAAGTCCAGCAGGAGTGGCAGGATCTTCTCGGACTTTTCCCAGGCACAGCTATCCACTCTGCCTTTGGACTCACTGTGTGAAAGCTCAGCACTACACACGTACTGCAGGGCACTGTGTGCAGGGAGCACACACACGAGCCATGGAAGCAGCAGTTGAGCTCAAGAAGGGTCAGGATCATGCTTCGTTCACCTTCATGTCTCCATCAGAGCATCCCAGGCATGGTGTGTAAGGACCAACCCAAAGGTAGGAGCCCAGATGTCAGCCAGATGTCAGCCAGATGCGTCAGAGCCCCACAATTTAGGTCAGAGAGGGACATAACACACACAAGCTGGGACAAAAATTCCTGACTTAAATCTGCCTGCTTTATCTTAAGACAATATCAGAGAGACAGGCCCTGCCCTGGATCCGCAGTCCAGTGACAAAGCTTCGAACAGGGAATCTGGATTGTTTAGTCTACAAATGGGCTGCTGAGGAACTCTGCATTGGGGGAAGAAAAGGCCCAAGGGCTGTAGGGACAATCCTGAGGTTTCAATTCGGCATGGTGGCAGTCACAAACTCTAAATCCATACGGGGCTAGGTAATATCAAGCTGAGCACTGACACCCACGTTCATCTCCCGGCTACAGACACAATAAATGTGACTAATAATAACCTCACAGAATGCAGACACAATGTGACTAAGAACCCCCATAGGAAGCAGACACAATGTGACTAAGAACTCCCATAGGAAGTAGACACAATGTGACTAAGAGCCCCCATAGGAAGCAGACACAATGTGACTAAGAGCCCCCATAGGAAGTAGACACAGTGTGACTAAGAGCCCCTTGCTCCTGCTACCATGACTTCCTGGCCATGACAAACTGTATCCCCTCAAACTGTGAACTAGAAGAAGCCCTTCCTCCCTTCAGTTGCTCTGGTATTTACTCAGAACAAGGAGACAATGAACTGGTCTGTAACCTAAATGGCTGAACATCGATAGCTGATTGGCAATGTCTGTGCACACAATATAGAAAGCCACGTCTATGGATGAGTGTGTGCACCTGTGTCTGGGTACAGAACGTTTCCGTGGTAGACATAAGCCTTTCTACTTGTTGTGGGGTATCCCCCCAAAGAAGACTGCTCGGATATGGGATTATGTCAATAGAAAGTCTTTATTAGCCAGGCCGGTGACTACACTGGGTGTTCGGGATCCGAGTGTAGCACCAAGCCTTTACACCATGTCCTGGGTTGACACACTTCAGGTAACAAGAACCAAAAAGCAGAGGTAGTACATTTAAAGACTTTTCCAGAACTATGGGCTTTGATGGATTAGGTCTTTGTTCTCCTCTTGGCAGGTGGTGCCTACATGCAGAGTTCTACAGCCTGAATGGTGCTTCCATCATGGAATCAGTTGTGCTAAGGTCTGGGGGCCTGTGGCTCTCTTGTCATTTCCCTCACACACACTTATGTAGAGGTGAACATCTTCTCATATTCTTTGAAGGACATTTTGAAATGACTGCATCAAAACAGCGATTTTTCTTGTGTAGAGATATTTGGGGACGTTTTCCTCTTTTTATACATTTCTCAACTCTTTAAATTTTTTTATTTTCAAAACGCATTATCAGGAAAAGAAAAAAACACATTTTTATTTTGGAAAAATTAAGTATTTATGTAACTTCAGAATTTTGCAAATTCTTAGGTAACAAGGCTCCAGACTGTTTCCTAAGCAGTCTGATGGGGAAATGGAGAGGGAGTGCTCCTTAGAGAAGGAAGGGAGATAAATCTGGGAGAAGGAAGGAGATGACAAAATAGCTAGGATGTCTGAAAATGCCACAAGGAACAATACTATTTATCTAAAAAACAAACAAGCGAACAAAAATCCCTATAATGCATGCACTTCAAGTATAAATATACATATACAGTTATAACAAATTTTTCTTATCTGGGTTGACAATGCTGCCTTCAAGGGACAAAGACCACCTAACAAAAAATCCAGTGCCAGTCATGAGAAGCCTTCTTTTGAGTTGTTGT